CTTTGCCACACTATACTATGCGCATTCCATGCAGCATATATGAGGCGGAACTAGTTGATCGGCAATCACCTACGCTGCCAAAATCTCTAGTGCTTTATTACGGTATTTTGACGCCATGATAGTTATTATAATATATACGGGTTGTTTGCAATGTTCCTCATAGGTGAGAGAAATAATTTCAACTTAAGCACTGCTCGTAAGGAGACCGATGTGATTTTAGAAGAGGGATAAGCTTCTCTTTCTCTTCTCTAATCTGTCCCTCACAGCTACCTGCACCGCAGATTAAATGTGAGCTCGAAATTAGTAATGCTGAGGATACGACTATGGACATCAAACGAATTTGCCCTTTATTTGTTATTTGCAACCCAGCTATACGTTTCAGGGTACGTTTAGTGGGTAGATAAATGTCTTTTATTTTTAGGGATGCGGCACTTCTGTAGTAATCAAAGTAACCAGCGACAGCATAATTCAACGATATGAAGAGTGATGTTTAGCAAACAGAACCGTGCTTCAGATACCAGAGAAGCATTAATGTCTAAGCGCATTTCGGTACGAACGAAGTACGAACGTATAATGGTGCAACAAAATAAATTTTAATGTGCTCTCATAACCATTGTTTGCTATCTCATAAGAGGTATAATCTTTGTAGTGCGTAGAATTTTAATTTAAGAGAAGCAACATTTATGATTTACTATGATTGTGATGTAAGGAATTTGCAATACCAGTACTTGCCCACTCATTTTAATACCTAATATAAAACAATTATAATGCGTCAAAATGTAATTTATGCAAAAATTCACGCTATCAGAATTGCAATCAATAGTTCACTGATTTGTTTGTATTAGTTGACACACATCAAAATAAGCGAGGTCGTAGGACCGGTCACTCTAAACCTCCTTTATTGACGTTTGAGCTCGAGGAGTGAGTTGTGTCGAACATACTGGGCGTTCTCCCTTCCCCTAGTGTCCATTTTGTTTTTTCGTTTTAGTGACTGAAGCATACGTAACGCTCGCTACCAATGATGAATATTGCTGTGGTGCCTTAGTCTTGGCAGACTCTCTTAGAAAAGTAGGCACTACCAAAAAACTCGTTTGTATGATTACTACCTGTGTATCGGATAATATGAGGTTGGTTTATCAATAAAGTTGCAACAGGGATTAGAACAGCTCTTGAGGCTTTTTTTGATCACATTGAGCTGGTTGATGTCTTGGATAGCAGCGATTCTGAGAACCTAAAGCTTCTTGCGAGGCCTGATCTTGGCGTTACCTTTACGAAGCTTCATTGCTGGAGGCTGACTCAGTATTCAAAATGCGTGTTTATGGATGCAGATACTCTGGTAAACGGTTTTGCATATCAGCATTCTTTATTTTAATGCATATTTGGTAATGAGTGAGTCTTTTATAGTTTCAATGGATAATATTTTCCTTGTGCGACTTACCTCTTTTTCTTTTACGTTGCACCACTTCTTCTTGACTCCTTATCAGGTCTTACAAAACATTGATGATCTTTTTGAACGCGAGGAATTGAGCGCCGCTCCAGATCCGGGGTGGCCTGATTGCTTCAATTCCGGTGTTTTTGTGTACACTCCTAGTCTCGACACGTACAGAGCACTTCTCGACTTTGCCCTTTCGGAAGGCAGTTTTGATGGTGGTGATCA